AAAAGGGGGACCCACTTCGGGGAAAAAAAAAAAAAAAAAAAAAAAAAAAGAGATAGAGAGATAAGGTAAACGCAAAAAGACCTACATAAGCTGTCTGAAAGTACACAAGGTTCAACATGCATGGAGTCTTCACAAAGTAATGTGATAGTGACATTAACACTATGGTTAAATCATTCTAAAATCCTCCAAGGAGCAAAGAAGCCACTATCTACTGTGACAACCTGATAGAGATAATCCCTTCCATTTCTGGAGATGTATACTTACAAAGTTGGGACAGTATCATTTTGAGTTGATTCCAAGCATTTTTAAAATATGGAAAGAATCTTAAATGTAAAAAGTAGAAACTATGAGCAATTTTTATAAAATGGTAGTGAGGTTATTTAACTTTCTCTTTATTTGCTAATGTAGAAATTATATTTATTAGCATAATCTCACTTCACATTTTTTTATTCAGTGATTTTGATTAGATGGCAGGAGGTATTAGTCTATGAGGATATGTGATAAATATTTCCTTGTTTTCCTCAATTTGAGTTGAAAAGTGGGATAAATGTGCCAAGTATTGATGAAATACATTTGAAAAATGACCTACATAGTAACTAAGTCAGTAATTAAACTTTAATTTTCTAAATATTATAATCAATTTTTAAAATAGAAACACTTACCAATCTACATGTAAGACCAATAACTGCTACCGGAGTCTGTGCAGACTGAGAAATGTCAAAAAGATTATAGAGGAGTGTTTGGTTTTTATGATGAGCAAAAAGATCAAATTCATCTAATATGAAGATCACTGGGCAACTACTAGTCCGGTCACCTAAGAAAAAATAAGAGTTTTATATTAACAAGCAATTATATCAGCCTTTCTTAAATTTCCAAACTATTTATTACATTTCATTTTTTAAAACTCAATTCAAAAAAAATATATTGATAACCTACTTTGGGTGGGGCACTTACCAATGCATGTACATTTATTCAACAAAAGAAATTATTCAAAGGACAAAATAGCCCCTATGGCCCTCAGGTAATTCACAGTCCAATCACCAGACTCTAGTAGCTTTACTGATGTTAAGAAAATCATTTAAATGACTGAAGACTATTGTTTTTTAAATTATGTAAACATAATTCTTCTATATCAGAAAATTGACAAGATCTTTTAACACCTACAGAGACCAAAACACTTTGGGATTAAATACAGAGGGACATAAAACTATTACTTCAAAAGAGACTTATTTTTAGTTAGTAGAAATACAAAGTAAATCTTCCCATAGAAATAATTTTTTACTATTAAGTTTAACCAAAGGTACTTTAACTCCTACTAATGACAATTTTAACACTTCTACAATAGGGAAAAGTTCAACATAACTCTGTGGATTTGTTTTTCTCCTCACAACAATGGAAACTACTTTAGCAGAACAATCACTATTACCTTAAGGTCTAAGGCTTTATATTTGCATAAAAAGTGAAAAAAAACTGATAATAAACAGATTTACTAATAATAATTATTAATATGATCTGTTAGATAAAATCTGATAATATTATCCAATAGATAATAAAACATATGCATTAACCTAAATGATATTAAAACCACAGGGACCACTCAGAAGTCTAGACCTACATAATATAGTACTTTAGTTTTTGATAACATATAACATTACATAACAATGGAAAAAGTGGTATATTCAAGATTAGATCTTTACTTTACACCTAACCAAAATAAATTCCAGCCAAATTATGAATTATATGTACTGGATGAAAATATAAGTGAATGTCAAAGTATGAAGGAGAGAAAAATTTTGACTATGTAAAAAATTTTAAACTTCTATTCAGCAGAAAAGTCCAAACCAAACTTAAGAGAAGAAAGAAACAAGTGCAAGAATTCACATAATAAGTATGAGATAAACCACCAAAATAAGGCAAAGAACCAACAGGAAATACACAAACCAGGAAATATCAGTGGCCAATTAAAATTTGATATGAGCATCATCAGTACCCAAATTATGCAAATTAAACTAAAATAAAAATTTTTTCTATTAAGTAGGCAAACATGAAAATAATTGTTTTTGAGGTCCTGTAGGAAAAAAGTACTTTTAAATATGTTTAGAAAATGGACCTTCTAGGGTAGTTTGGTAATTAATATTTATTCTTTTAAATGTAGAACCTTTTAATCTACCCATTGAAATTTACCCCAGGAAATCTGGATGATCATTTAAGCATTTCTTCCTAACCATACAAAATTAGAAATAAAAGTTGATAGCTGGTGATTAATAAATTATAATTCATTATATTAGAATTTTAAATTATAGTTAATTTATATTTTTAAAATGAAATATATGAGAACCATAAAAATAATGATGCACCTCAATATTTACTGACATGGAAAGATGCTTACGACATACCAGGAGTATAAGTGAAAAGATGTATATCACACAGCAAAATAGAAAAGATTTTATTCTTATTGAAAATTATGTCTATACCAATGATATACTACAGGTGAATAAAGATATGAAATCAAATGTTAGTTGGAATAATCACTATTATTAGGGATTTCAGTGGTCATTATTTTATTCTTTTTTATATTTCTTTTTTTTGTAAAAGCATATGATCAAGGGAAAAATAAAGCTAAACAATTATCTTTTGATATTGTTAAACATACTAATATTTACCTTTTTTTAAAGCTTCCAGAAGAAATGAAAGGTTTTCGGCAAAGCTTCCCTGAATAACAAAAAAAGATACCATGACTAGAAGTTTAGTGAAATAAAGAATAAAAGAGGGCTATATGATTCTATATACTGTATAGACACTGTGTATCTGGCCAAAGTCACTGGCCAGATTCTGAGCTAAATATCTCTATGCTTACAATCTAAAACTTAAATACAAAAGTAGAGATGGCATAGCACTGAAAATGGCATTATTATGCCATGTTCAAAATTTTATATTTTCTGGATAAAATCTGTAAAACTGTTAACTTTATTTAAAGGTAATTTTTAAGAGTTGTTATATTCTGAATAGTCAGAGAACAAGAAATCCATTGCACTTTGTATCTTGAAACACATCAGTCTCTTGCAAGTCTGAAACTTGTACCACTAAAAAAATTACCATGAATTTAAATGAGATCCAAAAGGAATAGGGAGAAGAAACTTGCCTCAAACATCAGACAATACAACAGTGTTTCTCTATTCAAGAGAATATTATAGAATTTGTATGTATCATATCAAATTTGGCTATGTTTACTTGGAACACAGCCAAAACATTTTTGGATACAACTTAAATATTCTGGTTGGAAATTAATAGAGTAGCAGATGCATTATCCAGATGTTCCAGCTTGTGGATAAAGGCCTCATTAAAATATTTTTTCACTTAAGTCCTTAATTTTTACTTCATTCAGATTTCTTAAAGAAACAGCCAACTTTAAATTTGAGGAGATATATAGGAAAAAAGAAACCCATTTGTTTGTTTCCCAGTAGAGAGAACTGATATAAAATAGCATAACAGGTTTTAAAGAGCTTCTACATATTTTGTGATGATTACATACTGTCAAATAATACTATTTCCAAGGTAGGCAGGGCAAGAGGTATTTACCATAACATAAACAAAGGCTCAGAGACAATCTGTTGGAAAATCAGTGGTCAAAGTTACTCAAAGGGTGCTTACATTTTACTATTTTTTTAAAGACTATTATACCTGACATTAAGTTTAAGTATATACTTAAATTCATATGCACATATTACAAGAATTTACTTATATGAGTATATATTTATATAAATATACACATTTATGTGTGTGTGTGTATATATGAATATACAAGTTTGTATACAAGTTTGCTCTAAGTACATCAAAACAGAAAGGGTCTGGGTTAAATCACTTAGTTTTTTAATGCCCAGCCTTTGTCATTTTATGACTTTAGGCACACTAATTATATTCTCTTAGCCTCAGGTGCCTCATCTATACAATATAGAAGTTACACTAATAATCTGTATATGTGGGGATTATGATAACAATAGTGATGACTAGGATGATAACCAACTGTGCCTTGTATTATTTCATATGAATCCAATGCAAATAGCTCTATTTAGAAAAGTCAGAAACACTTATCTACTGGAAACCAAAAGTCAAAGAGAGTCTACGTAATAGTAACTCTCCTTTGCCAACTAGGCCGCTATCTTCTACATTACATTCTGGACAGGAGGCAAAACAACAGATCTACAGAAGAAGCATTTGAAGTTGCACTTCAAAGACCTGTAGATAGGGACTTCCCTGGTGGTGTAGTGGTTAAGAATCCGCCTGCCAATGCAAGGGACACGGGTTCGATCCCTGGTCTGGGAAGATCCCACATGCCGCAGAACAACTAAGCCTGCGTGCCACAACTACTGAGCCTGCGCTCTACAGCCTGTGAGCCACAACTACTGAGCCCATGTGCGACAAATACTGAAGCCCATGCACCTAGAGCCCGTGCTCCGCAACAAGAGAAGCCACTGCAATGAGAAGCCTGCCCACCACAATGAAGAGTAGCCCCGCTCACCACAACTACAGAAAGCCTGCGTGCAGCAATGAAGACCCAATGCAGAAAAAAAAAAAAAAAAGACCTGTAGATAATGGAAGGGTAACACATGATTGGCTCAACTTGTTATAGGTAATTTTTAAAGAATAAAATTACTAAATGTTAGGAGGCTTACACAACTATGTCAGTGTTACTGCAGAACAGAGAGACAATTTAGAGATTAGAGTGACACCACTGAATGATCACCAGTGACCAAAAAATGAACTTGGAACGTCTACAACCTGCTGCAATTGCATTAAGCAGATGAGTCATTTCATTATGAAAATTAAGGCAGCTGCAAGTTAATCATGTTTCCCTTGAGCCTTATAAACCAAGTGGTAGGTAAAAAGTTTAATAAAAGTTCCAAAACATTTCTTATCAGTTTGTTATTGATGTTTACTGTCCTGAGATTCCAAGCTACAATAATAAGATGTGGCTAACTTTCTGAGAACATTTTCATAATAAGAGATAACTGACATTTGCACAGCATATTACCATCCTATTTAAAAAAAAAACAAAACATAAATGATGTTTAATACTTCTTTTCTTCTTTAGAATAAATCTGTGAGGTAAGTATAATAAGATAATGCCAATTTAACAGGCGAGGAATCTGTAATTCAAAGATATTTATTAGCCATGATTACCAGGTAGTCAATAGTTACAGGGCAAGACTCAAATCCACTTTTTGTAGCTTCAAATTCAATACATTTTCCACTACTCCCATGCTATCCAAGTCTCATAAGACTAGAAATAGACTTCTAGAGTGTAGTAATTTTAAAAACATATTAATCTATCTCCAAGCATAGAGAATCATAATATTTACCTTACAGATAAAGAAACAAACTCAGATAATATCTACACAAACCTGGATTTCTTGAAGTATTTTATAACTAGTATAACCTACTTCAAAAAAAATCTAAACATAAAGATTTGATAAATAAATACATCCTAGTACATTGTACATTCTTATAAGAATCTTATATATTTCAATTTAGAATCTCTGAACTCTTCCTACTCTTCCAAAAATATGAACGTATCTATGCTATACAGACTTTAATTTGAAGCCTACTTAATAAAATAATGAAAATGATACTTACAAAAACTTTATCTCCAACTACATTTTCCAGATTTAACTGCCTTGTGATTTCCTTTAAGGCAATTTTATCATTGATCTGCAGCAGTCCTGAAATAAAGCCCATTTTAAAGTATTTAATAAAAATGAAATATGTATTTGATACAATGCAGATTATTTTCAAGTAAATTTTCTAATGCTTTAAAAAATTTAACTAGAAAGAAAAAAGTCAAAGCCTGTTAGTGTACATTATTTCCTTTTAAAAACTCAACAGTGAAAACATTTAATAGACTCAAAGAACCATCTTCCTTGGGATTATTATTTAAAAAAATCAAGAGACCTTATTTAAAAGAGACCTTAAAGAGACCTTATTTAAAAAAAAACAAGAGACCTTATGTAACTCCTTTATTAATATTTTTTAAATTTCTAAAAATAATGTGTACAGTGTGCTAAAGTAAAAGTTGTTAAACACGGATTTAGTTTTTAAAATATAGTTATTAATGCAGATTTAAAACACACGAGTAAATTAAGGTTCATAATATAAAAAGCTCACATGGCCTACATCACTTCCAATAGCAAAATGAGGACATACTTACCATTTAAGTGAACTTGTAATACATTTTCACTCACTTCTTCTACTTCCATTAGTTCTTTCAAAGCATGGTTTATTAACTAAATAATATTAAAAAGTTTATGAAATATTTAATAATAGGTAAAAGATGATAAGCCCATATTCTTTTTTAAACTATCAGTAATAGGAACAGAATATAAACAGATTGTCATTTAAAATTCAACAATTAAATGTGCAGATTCTCTGTAGATAGAAGGTTTAACTGAACTCCTAAAGTCTGACTCTTAAGATGCCGGAGCCTGGACTGATGCCACACTCTCTCAAGCAGCTACCCAAACTTCTAATAAACGTTCAGAAATAACCCTTAAGTTTTCAAAGAAATACTTCTCTACAGGAGAAGTCGCATAAAACTATGGCCACTTAAGAACTTCATGTCTCAGTCAGTTCATTATATGTCTCCACCATTTCCTCTACAAAATTATCATTGAAATCAGTTAAAAGCTATTGAAAATAAGTACAAGAACAATGCTAAATGACAGCAAAACATATGCCCCCAATATAGCAATTTTTATGAAATACTGTGAACTACTTTGTATGTTACCTTAAAATGAAAATTAAAAAAGAAATACCAAGAGGTTAAGCTGAAAAAAGAGATGTTGCCTTTGTTAGCTGCTAAGTAAGCAAAGAAAGCCCTTATTAAACTTAGAGCTCACAATTAAAAAAAAAATTATTAATACTAATAAAATATAATAGTAATTACTACTAAAAATACCCAGAAAGTGTTATGCCACCTTAAACTGTTCAATTATAAAGCTTCACATTTTTATAATTACAGGTTTCTATGCCACATACTTACATTCTTTATATTTTTTGATTTGTGACATCTTATCACTCATATTGCACTATCATATATATCTCTTCATATTAATACTACATATTTTCTTAAACTTGAAAATAAATAGAATTAAGAAAAAACATAAAGCTTTTTAAAAGGAAGAGTAATGGCAGATTATTCTTTTTAATATGAAAATAGAAATAGAATGGTACTATTCCAAAATATATAGTCCAGGAAATTAGGCTATGTATACAATAAAGATGGCATCAAAATTTAGTGAGGACAAAAAGGATTATTCAACGAAGTCACTGGGCTTCCCTGGTGGTGCAGTGGTTGAGTCTGCCTGCCGATGCAGGGAACACGGGTTCGTGCCCCGGTCCGGGAAGATCCCACATGCCACAGAGCAGCTGTGCCCGTGAGCCATGGCCACTGAGCCTGCGCTCCGCAACGGGAGAGGCCACAACAGGGAGAGGCCCCCGGACCCCCCCCCCCCCCCACACACACAAACCAAAAAAAAAACAACAGAGTCACTGAGACAACTGGTAAGCTATTTTGAAAAACAAAATACTATTTGTATTTGCAATATTCTACCTCTATTTGTCACTGTAATATCTTTGTGCAATAGAAAGAAAACAAATACCCTCATTTTAAATTATTACATTTCACAACAGTGTATCAAACGTACTAGCTATTCCTGGTATATCTGTATAGTTTCTAAAGCATATGGAATTCTACCTCAGATCACAGGTAGTCCTCTTAAAAAAGTCCTCTTAAAAAAAGACAATCTCAAAATGTCAACTGTCATACTATGAGTAAAAGCCCAGCTGAGATGTTACATTCTTTACAGAAAACTGTCAGAAGATGAGGTGGTACTTTTCTGTCTTTGGATCAAGTCAGACCCTATCACAAGAGTTAGTCCCCAGATGATACAAACTTGGGTCTCTTATGCTGTATTCTCTTAGTAACCTGCTGTGTTCTTGCCCCCACCTCTTGATATTTTACTTACATAATATTTATATTTCCCTGGCTCTGATTTTATGTTTAAAATCATTTTACGTTTGATGAATTGTTCAAAACCATTTCAAATTCTTTGCAAAATGAAACAGGGTTAATAAATAATACCTTCATTTTACATATGCATAGAGAGAGTTGTAACAGGTTTATAGCCTCTTTCCACTGAATTTACTTTAACACCAGGTTACTTGATTTGCTTGAATCAGCTCACAATTTTTTTATGAGGTGTGACTGTCTGAAATGATCATATTAGCAAGTATGTCTTCAAATAATAATTTTAGTTCCACTCTGGATACTGCTAAAATTTACTGTGTAATTAGCTAGGTTACCAATCACATAATGCCAGTTTTTTTTCAAGGAAACAATGTCATCTTTTCAAATATTTTAAACTATATTATGTACTAAAAAAACTTAGTTGGTTATGTTACATTAACCATCATAACCAATTTGGCTACCCCATTTCCACATTCTTTGTAGCTAAAAATTAATTTTACCAACATAGTAGCACAGCTTGCTTAGAATTGCCAACATCCAGAGACTTTTATGCTTACCTACTATTACTATTCCCAAATACTTTATGGAACACAAGATTCAACAATATCCAACTAGAAGAAATATCAACTAGAAGAAACATCCTACTTAACCATCTAGCAAGTTTTCATGTCTACACTTATCTCTATATAGAAGAGTATTTTCCAGGGTCCAATCTGTCATTTGGAACCATATCTATTTTTAAAATAAATGTTTGAAATACAACAAACCACAATATCTGTTAGCTTTATTGCTTAACTGTAGATTTTGAAGTTTTGTATTTTGGATAGTTTGGCCAAGGATAGTGTTTTAAATATACTGTAATCTTATTTTTTAAGTTCAAATTTACATGATTATACTAATAATATTACTAACACATGATTGTACTAATATTATGATATATATAATTATACTAATTATATTACATAATAAAATTCTTATCTAAGAATAACTTATTTTATATCTCAGGATACTCCCACATACAACAAATCACAAAAGTAGCACGAGTTAAACAATACTCCTTATCTTTTTGACCTCTCAATATTGGAGTGCAGTAGGAATAAATTAAATTGTACCAAAATGGAATACCAGGTATGGGTTCTTCCATATTCCAGTTAACTCACATTAGATAAATGACGTCAAAACACCAGAACAGTGTGTTGTACCCACAGACTTGTAGAATTCAAAGAGTGACCCTTAATGTAGACAATGGATTTTAGTTAGTACTAATGTTTCACTATCACTTTCATTAATTTTAACAAATGTACCACACTAAAGCAAGATATTAATGATAGGGGAAACTGTGTGCACGTGTGTGCATGTATGTATGTGGAGATTATATGGGAACTCTGTACTATCTGCTTACTTTTTCTGTAAAAAATATATCTATTTTAGCCAATTTACTAATGAAATGGAGTATAGCTTTAATTTGTATTTACTTATACAACTTTGTAAGCGTTTACTAGCTCTGTTTCCTTTTTTCTGAACTTTCTCCATGCCTTTAGGGACAAACTTCCAAGATGAAAGTTCAGAATAAATTCAGTCATGTTTAAGTTATATTTTTAGGCTTGACACTTTGATGTATAAATCACTGAGATTCAACTTCTCTGTTGCATTGTTATTTTGTTTCAAGATGCACAGTGTACCACAGAATAACAGGTCTAATGTACTGATTTCCTAGATCTCATTTTCTCCTGTACTGATACAAGAGTATCACTATGCAGCTCCTTGAAGAATTAAAGTATTGTGTAAAAATGTTCTTCAAAAATACATAGGATAGGGCTTCCGTGGTGGCGTAGTGGTAGAGTCTGCCTGCTGATGTGGGGGACGCGGGTTCGTGCCCCAGTCTGGGAGGATCCCACATGCCACAGAGTGGCTGGGCCCATGGGCCATGGCCGTTGAGCCTGCGCGTCAGGGGCCTGTGCTCCGCGGCGGGAGATGCCACAGCAGTGAGAGGCCCGTGTATCACAAAAAAATAAATAAATAAAAAATACATAGGATAATGTGTTTTCCAAAAACAATAAAATAATGAAAACTGGAAAGAAAGGAAAATTATCCTTTACTAAAGAAAGACTTAAATTCACATTAAGAGGGTTTGCAGAGCTTCCGTTTTTATGACCCACACTTGGAAACAGCCTGTGAAATGTTCACACTGCTAAGATAGAGAAATTCTAAAAGCATCCAGACAAGGAAAAATCACAAACTCAAAACATGTTAGCTGTGGTGGTCATCAGTGATATTCACCATACTTCTGCTTAACCTCCCTTTCTAGGCACCTAGGAAAAATGCACTTCCTTGCTCTCTTGAAATTAGGTGTGACCATGTGACTCACTCTGTTCAATGAACTGTGAGATGTGTTCTGTATCACCACTGGGTAGGAACTTTAAGAGTGTCCATGATTCATCATGCTCCCTTTCTTCCACTGGGGTGTTCGTGGAGAAATGCTGACATAACATCCACCACTTCCTTTGAGTGACTACAGAGAACAGTGCCCCCTTGCTGATCCACACTACCCATAGAGCAAAAGTAAACAATAAACTTCTTTTGTGTCAAGACACTGAAATTTAGGGTTGTTATGACTGCATAATCTAAACTATCCAGATTGAAACAGCAATTTATAAAGGAAAAAAGAAAAGCCTACCCTTGGAGTTTTCCCACAGAATACAAATTGAGTAAAATCTATGTAATTCTAAAGGAGAAAAAACTGTGACCTAAGAGTTCAATCCCAGCCAAGTTGTAAGTAATGTGCAAAATAATTTTTGATGTATTTAAAATATTTTTTTACATTTCCCCATACTACTAAACTTCATTTCTCTTTTGTATTTCTGTGGTCTGAATGACTTTAGTGATTTGTTCTGTTAAGCAGGTTGTTGGGGTTTTTACCCTTGCCTTCAACCAACTTTCCATTCTTTAGTTTTTAAAATAGATTGTATGGTCATATAGTTTACCCCTCAAAAAGTATAAAAAGATATGCAGTGAAAAGATTCCTACCTCTGTTCCCATATCCCCGCCTCAACAAATAACTCACTCTATTAGTGTTTAATATCTTAGGGAGGCACATGGATGGCCAAAGAGCACATGAAAGGACTTCCCTGGTGGTGCAGTGGTAAAGAATCCTTCTGCCAATGCAGGGGACACAGGTTCTAGCCCTGGTCCAGGAAGATCCCACATGCCGTGGAGCAACTAAGCCCGTGCACCACAACTGCTGAGCCTGTGCTCTAG